TCAATGGGGTGTGAAAATCCCCTACTATGACTGTATTACTCAGTCTCTTCCTTTATGTCCATCAAGATTTGCTTTACAAGGGAGATAAGAGATCAACCAAAGGACTTGTATGCATGTATATAAGCAAAACCAATGGACGAAAAACTCTGGGGAGGGAGGGCGTGTTTGGGAGTGGGGGGAGGGCAATGGTAAGATATGTACACATATAATACCTTAATAAAAAAAAAATGAGAAAAAGCCGAAACCAGTTTGGCTCAGTGGATAGAGCGTCGGCCTGCGCACTGAAAGGTCCCAGGTTCGATTCCGGTCAAGGGCATGTGTCTTGTTGCGGGCACATCCCCAGTAGGAGGTGTGCAAGAGGCAGCTAATCGATGATTCTCTCTCATCAATGTTTCTAACTCTCTATCCCTCTCTTCCTCTCTGTAAAAAAATCAATAAAATATATTTTTTAAAAATGAGAAAAAAAAAAAAAGATTTGCTTTACATATTTAGATGCCAGCTTTGCAAAGGGTTATAACCTCTTGTTGGACTGCTCACCTTATCTCTATGCAATGTCCTTCTTTGTCTCTCACAAAGTCTATTTTGTCAGATATAAATGTTGCTATCCCAGCTTTTTTTCTTTCTTTCATTTGTATGAAATATCTCTTTCTATCCCTTTACTTTTAGTCTGAGTGTATCTTTCATTCTGACATGGGTCCCCTAAGATAGCATGTATAAGTGTCTTATATCTTAACCATTCAGCTACTCTAAGCCTATTGATTAGAACATTTATTTTTTTAAATATATTTTATTGATTTTTCACAGAGAGGAAGAGAGAGGGATAGTTAGAAACATCGATGAGAGAGAAACATCAACCAGCTGCCTCCTGCACACCCCCCACTGGGGATGTGCCCGCAACCAAGGTACATACCCTTGACCGGAATCGAACTTGAGACCCTTCAGTCCGCAGGCCGACGCTCTATCCACTGAGCCAAACCGGTCTCAGCTGATTAGATCATTTAAAGCCACTTACATTTAAAGTTATTATTGAACCTTGACCTTTTGGGGTACTGGATGATTCTCCGACCAACTGAGCCAGACCAGTCAGGGCAGCTGTTGAGAGATGCGTTATTGAAATGACAGACTTTAATAGCAGATTGGCCTGTTTGTTTTTTCTTGCACTTCTATCAGGTATTCTCTTGTGAACTGGCACCTTTATCATTATTGTGACCATGTTTATCCTTGATAACATTCTTTGCTTTGAAATCTTTATCTGACTTTAATATAGTTTCTCCAACTTAAAAAAAAAATCAGCCCCTGAGGATATGTTTATTGATATTTAGAGAAGGGGAGAAAGAGAACAACATCCATTTGTTCCATTTATGTACTCACTGCTGGATTCTTGTTATGTGCCCTGACCAGGCATATTGGGACAACACTCTAACTAACTGAGCTACCCTGCCAGAGCAACAGTATGTTATTTTTTTTATTTTATTGATTTTTTAGAGAGGAAGGGAGATAGAGAGCTAGAAACATCGGAGAGAAACATCGACCAGCTGCCTCTTGCACACCCCCTACCAGGGATGTGCCCGCACCAATGTACATGCCCTTGACCGGAATTCGGCAGTATGTTAGTTTTTTATTGCTGCATAACAAATTACCCCCAAACTAACTTAAACACTCGTTACTTCATAGTTTCTGTGGTGTTAAGAAATCTGAGCACAGCTTAGCCGAATTCTTTGCTTCATAGTCTCTCAGAGGCTGCAATTGAGGTGTTAGCTCTCTAGTCATCTTAGGGCCCAAATGGGGAAGGACCCGTTTTCTAAGCATGAAGTTGTTGGCAGGATTCAGTTCCTGCCAGGTAGTTACGTGAAGTTCCTTACTGGTTATTGGTAAGGGGCTGGCCTCCTGTCCTTGCTACATGAACCTGACATTGCAGCTTGCTTCATCAGGCATGCAAGCAAAAACAATGGAAAATCTATCAAGTCAGAAGTCATAATCTTTTAACCTAACTACAGACATCCCATCACCTTGGCTGTATTCTATTGGTCAGAATCAAGTCACTAAGTCCTGCTCACACACAAGGGTTGAATACCAGGAAGCAGGAATCCAATTTGTTTTATTCCTAAACTCTGTTGTTACTAAAATTTATTGCTGCAGGGTATTCCTTCACTAAGGCAATTAAAGTTATGACAAAAATGTAAGTTGGGAGGAGTTACATGTGACCTATTTTTTCTAACAGAAAGCTGTCTATGTATTCACATAAATGCTGTTAGAAAATGAAGTAGTTTCTTAAAGACATTTTACTATATAGCATGGTTCCTCAAACTTCATTATTGAATTCTTTCTGTATTCATTTATAGATACCTTCTTATAACAGATTTCTAACTTAAAATTATTTTTTGCTTGTTCCCTACACCTGTTTCTATTGATAGAATTTTATATTCTTTCATCTTTATTCTACTCACTTAATTGCAGGATTAAGAAAAAGTTTTGATCATAACTTACCTTTACCTCTATCCATACTGAATTAGAATTATAGAAAAAATATTCTTTCATTAATATTACCGGATGCATCAATAGTGTGATTTATTTTTAGTTCTGTAATGAAGAAAATACTTAGGTGATTTTTCAAAAATGATAACCCTGAAATTAACAACATGGTCATTAAAGATTTCTAGATTTCGCAATTTTATAAAATATTTAGAATTTCACAGTGAAGAGGTCCTAAATTCCTCATACAACATGAAATTATATAAAAGTAGAAGACATAGACATCTTTAACTCTTTAATCCTTTGATTAAGCAGCAAGCATATCACTCTTCCAGGCCAAACACTGCTTAAACAAAAAAGAAAAATAATGACGTGCAAAATATTTACAAAATATGCAAAGCACACAATAAAGACATCTCACTATATACATGTGTCATATTACTAATGAAGCTAAGATTTTTCTACTGTGTGCTCTAGTGTACATAAATCAAATCACAGCACATCCCTCAGATACAGCACTTTGGCCTGTGGCTGGGATAAAACAGATTTTAAATGAATCACAATATACTTAACAGCTGGACAGATGCCGGTACTGACCAACTTGACTGACATAAGCCACATATTGCATACTGAAGGCCTACTGACAAGACAAGACAATAAAAGCTGTATAGTATGCACATATGCAAGACAATCTAAATACTTTAGGCTTTAGATATCTTTTGTCCCATGGCTCTTAAAGTAAAAATAAGTATAAATTCTTGAATGTTAAGTATTTTAAATTAGATTCTATTTGTTTACAGTCCAGGGCCAAAACTATTTAAGATGATCCAATGAGAATGACAGGCACACATCCTGGAAAAACTTTTTGATTATGCCAGAACTTTAGTCCTTAATGGAAAGAAGTGGTCTAAATGTCAAAATTAAAACTAAATCAATGGACTTGAGTCTAGAGCTCTTTAAGGCTTTAGAGCCAATGATAGGGTCTATCTTCCCAATAATTTGGGAATATATGACCCCTCAAATAATAAATTAGGCTCTTGAAGGTTGACCACTTTGTGAAGTAGTTCTGAATATGATGAGAATGTGAATGTGCAAACACTTAGCCTTGTATTCCACTAGTACAGCAATCTGAGCAATCTGTCCCTTTGCACAGTCATGATTCCAATATGAAATCATCATATCAAAAATATTAGTAACATATTATTGAAATACTATCACTTTTAAAATATTCTTTGTAATGATTATGTGTTGAATTAAGAAAACCTGAAATGTTTTTTTTTTTGTCTCTTTATAAAAAGGGGTCTCAGCATTTTAAGTTAACAGCACAATTGTGACAATATACGGATATATCTTTAGATAACACAGAACAAATCCTTAAATTTATTTCATAAAATAATGTTGATGATTTAACCCTAAACCAAACCCAGTCATACACGTTGGCTGCAAGAAATACACAAATGTATCCAAATAGTACAATAGAGATTTATCAAGAAACCATCATTTATATTAAATGCAGACCATATTAAGTATGAGGGCAGTTTTAAGTTCAGAACCTAAACGCAGAAAGGGTATTGTAATAAATGCTTCCATTATCACTATCTCCACATAACTGACAAAATATAATTCGCTTCTAAGATCCCTAGATGTAGGCAACTACTAGTTAAAAGCAGACAGTTTTTAGAAACATTAAAACAAAAATCAAAATGAACTTAATTTTCAAGGAACTTAAAGACATTATACTTTAACAAATTAAGTCCTCATTTGTATTTATTATTATTCTGATTCCATTATTGATAGATGACAGGTCAAAGACCTTTAAGCAAGAACTTTGCACTAGGACCCCAAGCTCTATTTTAAATGTTAGTAGGTTCAGTACATTCTTTATGATTTCATATAATTGCTTTGCAATTGATTTAATTGCTTTCTTTGAAAGGAACATATTAATATTCCTTTAGAAAAGAAAGCAAGATTTTTTTTTTTAAAAAGGGATATGTGGCTATAATTTCTTAAATATGCATTAAATGAACATATGCCAAAATATGAAATGCAGGCTACTTATTCTTACACTCCTAACATAGGAAAATGTTAAAATTAAATTAAAGAAAGAAATGTCAAACATTCTTATCTTAAGAAACTTGAGGAGTTTTCACAATTCCTAAGTCAATATTCTTGTACTAAGAGCCTTGACTATGAAGAGGCAGGAATATAAAGAAATCTCAATAAAATAAATACAGTAAAAACAAAAAAAAACAAAAACCCTTGGTATATAGAATAATCTTTTTTTCTTTTTCTTTTATGAGAGCATGTTGCTGAACATATACTCTAGAAAGGAGCCTAACTGTAGGCTTTTTCTTATACAACGTCTCAGTTGGTGAACTAAAAAATGTCTTGGATTTCCTACGCTAGCCCACTGCCTTAGTCCGCAGCCTCAGGATCCAGGAAGGATTAGTCTTTTCTCGTTCTTGTTGGTCAGATGAGAATGGGTACATGGTGGGTAAAAGGTTACTGCAGCTCTGTCCAACTTAATTTTAGTGCAGTGAGGATTGTGAGTCTGTCTGAATTCCGATAAGTGATGGTGGTTGCTGACCACCGACTGTGGACAACACTGGTCTTGGGTTTAGACGGGGTGGCATAGAGTTAGCAGGGCGAATGAGAGGCGGAGGAGGCTGATTTAGAGTTGGCCGAGGCTGGATGAACCGAGCCTGCTGCTGGAGTGGAGGAGGCTGCCGGTGAAGAGCGGGGGCAGCAGGCAGTGTTGGGCGAAGAAGTGGTGGAGGCTGGTTCAGAGTGGCAATGGGGGCTGTTGGTGTTGGAGTGGATGGTGGGGCAGGAGGTGATGGACCCAGAGTCCGAGGAGCCTGTGGGGTCTGTGCCTAGAGGTGAGGAAACAAAAATACATGTAAGAGATGACAGTTCCTAAGGAGCTTAATACAATATAGTTTGGGCTGTCACAGGAAAAACAAAACAAATCAAAACAAAACAAAAACATAACACCAGTATTTTTTGGAAGCACAAGCTTCTTTTATTTTAAACAGAACAGAACAAAACAAAACAAAACAAAACAAAAACAAAAACTGAAAAAGCAATGAAGTTACCAAACAGGCATCTTTATTAGTAAACAGCTTAACACTAGGAATAAAAATATGACTATGAAAGAACAATACACTCTCCATTCTTCTAGGATCAGATCTTAGCAAGTCATTATGACTTAAGAGTCACAAGAGATGCACCACCGAGTAAGTGTATTGTCAAGCTTTCATGCTCATTTAGCTTGTCCTCTGACCAATTAACCTTACAGACCACCACACAAAATGGTGATTCCTCCTCTTATATTAGCTCAAATTCCATACACAAACACACCTCCTCTTCTTCATCAGTGCTCTTCCCTGATGGCACATTAGAAGCACTTTTTGTCTCCTCCCCTAAAGCAGAAGCATCACCATTAGAAGCCTGGGTTCCTTGTTCTGCTTCCCACTCCTGCAATACCTCCTCTAAGTTAAACCGACGCCTGTAGTTTACAAAGAAGTTCTTCACTTGGCCAACAGTCTTGTTGCCAATTACATCTGCAATAGCTTGAAAATCTTTACCATATTTGCGGACACCTGGAAGGCAAAGTAAATAATACACCTGGTGAAGGATCAATAAGGAGAGCTGTGTGTACTATACATCATGCACACACACAAGATACCAGCAATGAAAATCCTTTCTGATAAAACTCTGCTCATTTCTTAGTTCTATGATAGAGGCTAAGATATCAGGGTCCCAGATGAAAACAATCAATTATGTCATTTCATCGAGCCAGCCACTTGCCTTCAACTGAACAATCAGAGACTTACCATTTTTTACATACTCAGTTATTTTCTCCAATCCTCTCTTGAACTCTCAAATACAGTCCATTTATTGTAAAGCATTGAATTCTTTGTTCCATCCTCAATTCCATATTCATTTATTTCCCTAGTAGCCAGTCACCTAAATTTGAGCAACACCGTTTGTAAACAAGACAGGATGGTAATGAGCCATCTCTTTTATCCCCTCAATGGAATGAGTGAGTAGTCTTAGGGTTCCCCCATTAAGAAAAGCATAATTTTGGTCTTAATACCAAATTTAATGATTACTCGCTATCTCACCAGGGTACCAACAAGTAGAAATGAGATAAGAATTAACAAGCAAGAGAATTATCACAATCTGATAAACAAAAAAAGGGGAGGACTTTTTCAGTTAGTTGAATGTCAACTCATGTAATAGTTCTGAAGACTGTGTAGATGAAGGGGCCTTAGCTATGCCCTCTAGATGTAAGGATAAGGTTACAGCAGTGAATACTGGTAGAGCACTTGTGCTTCTCATCACTACTACCTCCAATTTAAGGACTGTACATTCAGTCATTTGAGAACCTAATTTTTCATTATGGACATTTTATTAAATTACATTATGAAGGATAATATTTATGAACTTGAGATAGTCAATTATGCTATGGAATTTAAAAATGACTTTATATAATCAGATGGCTAATAATTTGCTCTTAAGGAAATTCACTGACTTATTCTTGAAACAGATGCACTTAGCTCAAAATATAAAGTTGTCAAAAATTTTTATTTTATAATTTGAAAATGGCTTTTTAAAGTACCAGAAAATAACTCATTAATCATAGAAATGAGAATGGAGGGGAAAAAAATACTGATGCTTATGATATAGTCTGAAAGCAGCCAAAGATATGGGGACTGAAGTAAACAATATGTATACAATCACAGATGAGAGAATAAGGATATGTTAAGACCCCACCAGAAATAGTAAATATATTCTTACTGATACCTATTGGCATTACCCAATGACCTTAAAGCACCAACATGATGGAACATGATTTTTATTTTTAAACTCTACCCTTATTTTTAACTAAGAATTTGGGAATATGTATCTCTTGCTACACTCACCTAGCTAGGCTTGACTCTTAGAGCATATGGGGGGAAGTCTGACATTATTAAGCTATAACCATATCCCATTTTTAATATAGAACTTGAGGTATGTAAATTATGCTTATTTGTTCCATTCTCAAAGGAATAGGACAGATGACAACACAGTAGTAATGATACTCAATATTTTAGCAATATAAATTAATTTATATTTTCTTAAAATTCACGAGCTAATTTCCAATTGCAAATTCATACTGAGTATAAATTCTAATGGTGACTAGGTTCTACTGAGGGTTTATATGGCAATAAAAATTCAAGGCTAATTTCATATTAGGAATTACTTCTCTATTGCATATACTTTGGAAAACAGCAAGTCATTTGAGATCACTGCACTGAAAAATAACTACAAATCAAAAATACAATGCAGTCTCTTAATTTCATAAAAGACATTTAACTTACATTCTAGAAATGCCTGAACCTTACTGAATACATGAGTTTAGAAACAAAACCTCAAATAAATCTGGATTATGTCTTCTGTATTCCTAGCAAGAAATCACATTAAGACAAACTAGGACTCCAAGTCTGAAGACATTACAGCCCTCAGAACACCTATTTGGTAAGCAGCACACATTCCAAAACCCACCATTAAGCTGTTTCCAGATAGATGCCTTTATATAACTGTCCCTGCTTCTTCTGACTCTATTCTTTTTGATCTTCTACTTTATTTCCTCTTGAGCAATGGACTTTACCTTGTCACAATATTGCTGCATTTCCAGAATTACAGACCGCCAAACCAAAGCTGCTTCCTATAGGAACTTTAGTTTTCCCAGACATTTTCAATGTCAAGAACTTTTTCCAAGTCACCTTGGTGTGTTTATTATTATCTCGTGTATAACAGCCTTATATTACTTATTTTTGCAAAATGTTAAGGCTCAGACCACACTGCAGACTGCTGTAGTCTAGCTAAGGACCCCAATCATGTCCTGAGAACAAATGGGCCAGATATTAAGGCCCTCAGACTGCAGGATGCCTGCACAGGGTCTGGGCGTGAGCTACAGTTCCTTGACAGTGTCCTCTGTTTGCAGCCTTTGTCTGTTTGCCCCGTGTGCTGTGACAAATTTCCTAATTTTCTGTTTGCCGCACTGGGAAAGGTCGGGAAGTACGGTCCTATGGAATACATGCCAGCCCCAGCATCACCACAGGACGTGCTCAGGAACCATGACTGATTTCTCTTCCTGATGAGGCTTCATTCTACTTTTCCTCCCCAAACCACGAGAGTCACATATAGCTGACTTCTTTGCCACCTTCACACTCCCAACTGCTCAACAGCCTATTTTGGCTACAAGGAGGAATTCTTACGCTCTATACAGTGGCTGATGGCTATAATGTGGAATTCTTAAGTTCTAGGCAGTGGCTGATAACTAGCAAACTCTAATAAAATGCCAATTAAAGACTTAATTGCTCCTTTAGAAAAATCCCCAGCGAGGCTCCTGGATGATCTGAGCAGCAGTGCCGAGCAACTGACTCTAACCACATATGATATCAGACCTCCCTTAGTTCCAATTTGTACTTGGGTAAGGTGGTCCATTCTTTCTTCAGTTTGCAATTAACAAGGCCTCCTTTATCAGCAAGGTACTTAAATACAGTGATTAAACCTCTCTCTCCCTGAAGATGTAAAAGGCTTAGGTCCACTGGAACCATGGTTTTAAATAAAACTTCTCACCTTTAGGGCAAGGAGCCAGTTTTCAAAGATTAGTGGAATAAAACTTGAGAGACTCCTGGAAGAGGTAAATTATAAATTTCTCAGGGAGAGAAAAGAAAATTGTTTTCAATTAAATTTCTAAATTCCATTTGAAAATTAAAATGAAACAGCTTGGACTTCTATCTGGCAGATGATACCTTATAAACTTTAATATATACTTTTAAAGTTTTGTTTGGGGAATTAACATAAAAATAAAACTCATTAGGGAACCTGTTTTTGGTATACTTAAAAAGTTATTTAAAAATTGTGGACTACAACGAAGAAAAGCAAAAACATTGCAGAGGCAAACTACTTCTAAGTAGTGGAATTTGGGGGGATATTTTTTTCTGCTTCTTATAGCAAAATTTCTTAAAGTGAGCATGTACTTGGTATAATTAGGAAATCTCAATTTAAAAAAATGTTATCTTGAAATAAAAAACACAGTAACACCTAGAAACTCCAAGGGTGTGGTTCTTTCCTAGCAGTTAGAGATTTTAAAACTCAAACTATTTGAAAATATGCATTCCTTTCTACCTCCTAAAAGTCCCTTCAAGGCTTTGTATTAAAGAATGATAGAAAAACTACCAACTGCAATGGGACAGTGACTGGTGTATCTGGGCCAGAACTGAAAGTCAATATCATACATTCTCTTTTCTAATGTCTAGCTCTTCTCTTCTGATTTTACATCCCCATCTTCCATAGTTACACATTAAATTCCATCATAAAAAGGCTCAGAGTTTTGAATCACTAGTTATTTGAAGCAAATGCAACAGAGGGCTGACAATTAATACTTTTTTTTTTTAATCTCCATTCTTAAGATACCTGTTACAATAGAACAAACTCTCTAAAGCACGGCTTGCCTTTTAGATAGGAAGGCAGGAATCTCTTATTTCCACTTCCTTTTGATTGTTCATGTGCTAGGTAGGTCACAAGAATCCTTATGTGTTAACCAAGTGACATCTTTTTTTGCCCCTTCTTTAGGCATGAGTCTAGCTTTTTTAAAAAGTAGGAGATAAGATGAGAAAGAAGACAAGTTCTAGATTTGAAACTTCATTTCTCCTAAAACAAAATGAATGTATGAACTACAGGGAGAGAAGGTAACATTGAACTGTAAGCATTATCCTCTTGAACTTTGTTTTGTTATTTTTTGTTCTATAAGGGAAGACTTACAATTAAAAAAATTAACTAAAAATTAAAATTAACATCTTGATAAAACTGGGAAAAGTTTTTGTTGTTTATTTTAAAAAGCACAAATATTTAGTTGAGGAGCATTTTTTTTTTTTTAACATTAATGACTACAAAATAAATATTGCACATTTAAGAGGAGATCTAAAATAAAAATGGCAAATATTGTATACCATGCTTCTGCCTCTATGTACTCTAAAGAGTAAATGTTATTACACTTTATAAGTTGTTATTTTTTAACAGAGTTAATAATTGTTCCATTTACATGAAAAAAAAAATCACACACCTAGAATCTATTTTCTTTCCTAATTCTTTTTTAAATTTATTTTTACTTGAAAGCATTATAGATGCTCCCTTTTTCCCCCACTGTCTCCCTTCACCCTACACCAGCCTTTCCTAATTATTGCTAAATAAGAAATGTCCATCATATGAATATCAAAATTGATTTTAGGTTAATTTCTTAAGGCATTATAAATTAGAAAAAATATTTATATGACACAAACTAAAAACAGGGATATCTCATCATTAATAAATATGTGAAGACTATAATTGCTTCACAGTTAGCTAATTTGTTATAATAGAAATTTTAGATACTTAAGGCTGAAACAGATTGTAGAAATTGAAGATATAGCATTCTTGGCAAGTATTTAAGAGGATTTAATCATCAGCATTTATAAATTCCCACTTGGGGACTCTTGAAGAACGTATTAATGTTATAACATAGCTAGAACTAAAACTAACGTAATAAAGTGATAGATTACACAAGGATAAACACACATTACTATTTTGTCTGAGCATGATTTTTTCTCCTAAATAAGGGAGAAAAAAGGGAACAAGATTTATTATTTACTTAAATATTAAAATAATATTAATATATTCAAATATTTGTATTTAAGTCATTAGTATTTAGTTTACAAATGGCAAATAAAGTGGAAAATATATACTTAGGCTCTAGGAAATTATCTTAATACAGTTAGTTGGCTTTAAAAGAGTTACAACAAAAGTTTACTTAATAGTAAAGTGACAAATTTCACTATGACACTAGAGTGAGTCAGTGTTTCTCTCTCCAGGCCACTGTAATAGTCAACTAGGAGCAAGGTAAAATAATGCACTTAACAATGAGCATCAAATCCGAATACCTATGCAAAATGTCATAAATACAAATCCTATGTAAATTAAAACATGTTACTAACAAAAAATAAATGATTTCTTTGTAAATTTGAAATAGCCACATAATAACATCATATAAAAGTTTATCATAAATAAGGATTAAAAAGAAAAAGACAAAAATCAATTGCCTGCTAAGATAAAATATTTCTTGATAGCAAACTGTCCATGTTAAAATAAAAACTGCAATTATGTACCTCAACCACACTGAGACTCAGGTACAGATGACATTGCTATATAATTATATTGCTTATAAGATACATTATATAAACGTGTGAACACATGAGGCAAAAATGGCACTTTTTAATTCTCCCTCAAATAACTATCTTGGAAAATAGCTTTATATTGTCTTATTTTATGTAACAATAATAACAACAAAACTGACAACAATAACAAAAAATGGAAACAAAAATTCCAGAGTCAAATAAATAAAAAAAGACATTAACATATAAATGAAGTACTTTCAAAATCCCAAGAACATGCATATTTCTGTATAAATTGCTACACTAGTGTAATTTATTTAGGGTTACTTTTTAGATATGCATAATAATATATTAATGAATATATCTCAGTGGAGAGGAAATATTTGATTATATCTAGAAATGCTCCACTCTTTAATATTTATAAGCTGAGGTAATGACCACACATGTAGTTCACAGTATACATGCAAATCTTTGGATTGTCCCTTCCCTGGAATGCAGCTTTGCATAATATCCAACCCAGCCATAAGATTCAATAGACTCTATCCCTTAGTGCTGTAAGAACAGTTCTAAATCCTGAGGGCAGTATAGAGAAACATTAGCCCAGATTTTTCTCGGTGATTCTCTTCAGAAAATTCTCTCACCGGGATAATTTCTTACACTAGAGAATAGGATTAATATACTAACCTTTAAGCAACTGAATACTGGAAACCAGGGTTAAATTCTATAGGCTACAGACTGCGATGGAGGGAAACACAGGCTTTGTGTCAATAAAAGCAATGCCTACTGAAATAACTATATTAGAGCTACAAGTCATAGTTCTAAATGAATCTGAAGAAGCCATTAAAAATACTAATTTTAAAATCGCTAGTTTGTAAACAACAATTACTGAACATTATAAATCAATTAAATTTTGTTCTGACTCATTCAGAAACATAGTTCTACCATATAGATTGCTCAGTGCATATCCAGTACCTAGCTTCCACAGGCCAGGCATTTTATTTGTGAAATGACCGTGTGGTGCTTTAGAAGCCGAAGAGAAGGCTGCCATTAGCCCGCGGGCACTCTCTTGTGACAATTTCAAACCACACTGGCTTGGTAGTTCTTATTCATTCTCATCCAAACTGCAGAGCCATCTATTAATCCATCTTTAATTACATTATTCTCACATCCGAATGGTGCTTGCATAGTATTTTTGAGTTAAATATGTCCTCTATGTTTGAATATTTGGAAATATTTTTAAAGGTACACTTGTATGTTTCACTGGGCTCAATTCTCTTACAGTAGTGAACCTACATAAAATAGCTAGTGCTGCTCAACAAAAGAGGGATCAACTACGAAGGAACAGATTGCAGGCCAAACTTAAAATCACACAATCAGTTCTCCAGATAGTTTATTTTGAAGGGAGGAAAAAAAAATCAACTACAACATTGAATAAAAATATGGAATTTGCCCTTCTGTAAGTAATCCAAACACGAGAAAATCCAAGTTTATAATGGTTCCAAGGTGCCCAACAGTATTTCTCATACAAAAAATGTTCTGCCATAGAATTCAACAAAACATTCTTATAAAGACTGTAGTGCATTAAACATGCTAAATGTATATTTTTTGACATATCACTTTTGTAATATCTATATATTTTTAAAGTCAGGTTTCTAAGCATTCAGTGGCACATCTCTTAAGTGTTATACGCTGAGAATAAAGTACACTATTAATATTTTCAATGCCCGATATTTATCAAATAGATACACTACTATACAAAGAAACCCGAAACCCATACTAGTTTATTCAAGCTCTTAACCACGAGTTGGCAATGACTGATATGGTAAGAATGAACCCAACTGAGGAATACCAAAGCAGAGGCAGAGACCACAGACTGTGTGAGCTTGTCAGACCATCACTTTCTTAGAGTTCTGAGAGAACGAGTTACACACCGTTCAGGACTCAAAATAAACAGAGGCTCAGTATGTCATATTCACAAGGACAAAACGGCATCGCTGTGCACCAGGACTTCGTGGTGAACACAAGAGCCCTTTCTCGACCCACTTCTAAAGGTAAGGAAGAACTACGGCGGTCACCTTTCATGCCAAGTTCAATAATTATTAACAACAAGAACTGCTTATCTTTAATATACCTTGCACTGCTAGAAGCTGCTCCTCTGTGGTCCAACGGGCATTAATTTTCTGATTTGACTACAAAATTAAAGAAAAGTTTCCTAATGAGGATATGAAGATAGACATTTTTCCAAAGTGCTTACTTTTTTTAAAAAAAAATTTTTTTTCACCAAATCATAGACATCAGATTACTAAAATTCTGATTTAGGAAGATTTAATTTTTATAATTAAAATATATTCTGAGTTACCCTTTACCCACACAAAAAGATAATGAAAGAGAAATGTACACGTTTGGGAGAATGAACAACATTCACATTTAGACTCTAGTCAGAAAACCTATATAAACAGGCCAAAATAATCACTCATTTTCCAACTACAATGTTCCCATCACTCACTGCACACGTTAATTTTAGCCTCATTTTAAACATTCAAGAAACTTTGTCTTTATATTGAATCTGTGACCTTTTCTAAAATTTCTTCTCTTCACATTTAGAAGATATTACCTATAACCTAGTATTTTTGTTTATGAAATGACTGTGTGGTGCTTTAGAGGCTAAAGAGAAGTTGCCATTATTTTGTGGGCACTCTCCTGTGACAATCTCAAAACAGTAATGTTGTATAAATTAACACAGAACTGGAGATTAGGCTTAAGCCCTAAACCATTTTTGCAGCAGAAAGTGACCCACTCTAAGAATATCTCCCCCAAGGCCTCCTGTATTCCTCTCAATATTTTTATTTCAAAAAACATCCTAAGTTTAGGATTTTTATTATGACAATATTAAACAACCGATCGAATTCCATTGGTGTATACCACGGTTAGTACTCAAGGACCACTGGCAGTAAGTAAATGGAGAACAGAAATAAGTACACCGATCTACAGAGGTTGGCAATAGAAACTGCCCAGAAAAAGTGCCCTCATGTGATAAAGGGACATTCTGGGCAAAACAGAAAGGCTTCCTTTGAGAAGGGGTGATTAGGTCTTATCTTACTCATGGTCTTCGCAATAAGAGTTTCTACAGAGCACACAAACTCCCTCACCATGTGTGAAGTGGTATAAGCAAGCACTCAGAAGAAAGAATAAAACAAAAATTAAAAATTAAAAAAAATTATTAGAGAAGAAAAAGTAAGATAGGACTTAGAGAAAGGGAGGGAAAAACCTAAAGAAAACACTGAATTCCAGATGATGAGGCTAAAACAGAAGAGCAAGCAAGCCAGGCAGGCAATGGGCAGTGCTCGGCATTAGGATACTGGCAATGAAGCAAAGAACAACAGTAAAAGGTAAAGAGAAAGAGAGGGAATAGGGTATACAGAGGCAGAAATAAGAAAAAGGTTAACTAAGGCTGAAGAAGTGAAAATAAATAAATAAATAAATAAATAAATAAATAAATAAATAAATAAAAAGATGATAGAGGAAAAACTAGAAAATTTAAACATATGCTCCCCATGCAATCTAGTGTTACAAAGGTAGATAAGGGAGGTCCTTGGGACCCAAGGATAATTGATTCTAGAACCTATTTAAAACAGGCCCAAATATTTCAAAGTAAATGGCTAAAATAATAAAGGGTTGATTGCAATTTAATGTGAATATGAAATGAAAACTTACAAAAATTAAAAATATAATAATGACCTTAACTTATATGTTTCATTTTTTTTTTTTTTTTGCATATCTTCTGACTATATAATGGTAACACCCCCAGCTTTGAAATTCATAATATGACCATAGAATGAGTTATCTTTGCTTAGAAGACTTCAACAATTTCTTAAGGGGCTCTCGATTTTTGGTAATCTAATTATCCTTTTTTGAAATGCTTTTCTATTGGTGATCATTTTTTTTCCTCCAATTTTTAATTTTGTTAGCTACCCAATCTGTCAACAATGTTGCAAGTGATGAGAGCCATTCTCTTCTATTTTCATAGATTTCATGAAGTTTTGCATCTTTTGCAAGATTTATAATTTCATTTTGTTTTGTTCTGCATTTGCACTGTATGAACAAGAGAGTAATCAAGCGGTATGTTGATGGATGGGATAGATGATAGCTGGAGTGAATTCAGGAGAGGTCGTGAGAAACAATGGTCTGGGAAAAGCGGGGAAGAAGGCTAAGGTGATGAATTTAACGTAAGATACACTGAAAATGATATTCAGGTGGAGCTCTGGTTCCACTCGAGGCTAACAGAGATTCATCTATTCAAATGTTCATGAGGGAAAATAATGGCGTCAACTCTTACTCAGATGTGAGGTTCTAAAATCAGCGTATGAGTTTTTTTAAAAAATATATTTTATTGATATTTTACAGAGAGGAAGAGAGAGGGATAGAGAGTTAGAAACATCGATGAGAGAGAATCATCGATCAGCTGCCTCTTGCACACCTCCTACTGGGGATGTGCCCGCAACCAAGGTACATGCCCTTGACCGGAATCGAACCTGGGACCCTTCAGTCCACAGGCTGACGCTCTATCCATTGAGCCAAACTGGTTTCGGACAGTGTATGAGTTTTAAAAAGTTTTGTCAAATTTACTTTTGAAATGTTCTCACAAAGCAGCCATGGAGATGGGCACATCGACCCAGAGAGTAGGTATCCTTCCAGCACTGGGCCGGGCCACTCGTCTTTTACTTAAATCCCAGATGAAGCCTTTGGCTCGAATTTAGGGTATTATTGAGTGAAAAATACGAACACATATTTAAATACTACAATCTCACTAAGTTCAAGGATATATTCACCAAGGAGGCATGTGGAAGTTAACACTGACTAACGGGACAGTGGGCTCACACCTGATAAATGGAGTTCAGGCAGAATGGCAGTTTTACTGCGTTTGCTATGCTAAATGTTTTATTTGCAGAATATCTGTCCTTCAATTTGTGCCATTTAAATGTACATTATCGAGTGATAAGATTGGTATTTTCAATGAGAAATGAATTCTGAGGATAAAAAACTTGGAAAATGACTGTATTTATGTATAGAAAGGAAAATACAATTGAGACATCTATATAATAAAGAGCTAATATGCAAATTGACCATCACTCCAACACACAAGATGACCACCCCCATGTGGACACATGGCTGGCAGGGGGGGACAGTTGGGAGGACCCAGGCCTACAGGGAAGGGCAGTTTGGGGGAACCAGCCCTGCAGGAGAGGGCAGTTGGGGGGAACCAGACCTGCAGGGGAGGACAGTTGGGGGCAACTAGGCTGGCAAGGGAGGGCAGTTAGGGGTGACCAGGCCTGCAGGGTAGGAAAGTTAGAGGTGACCAGGCTGGCAGGGGAGGGCAATAGGGGTGACCAGGCCAGCAAGGGAGGGCATTTGGGGGCAATCGAGCCAGCAGAGGAGCAGTTAGGCGTCGATCAGGTTGGCAGGGGAGTGGTTAGGGGGTGATCATGCTGGCAGGCAGAAGCGGTTAAGGGCAATCAGGCAGGCAAGTAGCTGGGAGCCAGCAGTTCTGGATTCTAAGAGGGATATTCCAGATTGGAGAGGGTGCAGGCTGGGCTGAGAGATACTTCCCCACACCCCCGTGCACGAATTTTGTGTACCGGGCCTCTAGTGATAGTAATAAAAGAGAACATAGCATCTCAAAAGTTAAAAGAAAAAGAGAGGTTGACATCTATGTCCAGGGCTCAGAAAAATGCAAAGGAAACAAGGAGTTAGAGTTGTGGAAAAGGTCATTAGCAGAAACCTCAGTAGAAAAATGCAGGCCCAGGGCGGGGGAGGAGGAGTTGAAATTGTTAAGGAATTAAACAGTCTAGGTGTGACAAAATGGAAGCGATGGAAGAGGGGTCAGACTGAATGAGAAAAGGAGTAAAAATTTTTAAATACATAGGATTCTTTGAAATCACTGATTTTTATATTCTCTTTTAAACCCAAGAAAGTTCGGTAGAGATTAATTTAGATATCTAGGAATCTGAAACTGTGTGATAGTGTGGTTAGCTGGATGGTACCACTGAGAACATTCTATCACAACCCAGTCTGAAATACCATTGTTTTAAAAATAATAAAATGTTAATATAAAACAAAAAAAATCTAATACAGGGTGGATAAAAGTAGGTTTACAGTTGTGAATACACAATAGTTTAGTCCTATAGTCAGCATCTTTACTGCATTCTTTCCCTGCTAACTTACTTTGTCTTTATATCTGCCCCATTTTTGTCAGAAGTGGATTTGTAACATCTCTGAATGGGAAGAATTAGAAAAAGTCACCAAGTCAAACCTTCCACGCAAGGCCAAAAATTCCATAAAACATCCATATGGAAGAATGTCACCAACCCATGCATGAAAACATGCACAGATGGGGGAATTCCTAGCTTTAAAAAGCATTACTCAGTTTCTTGCTTCCTGGATTAATTAACCTCCTTGCCTCCGCCTACTTCCACCCAAAATAAAACCAAACATGCCATCACCCCCAACACTCTCATCCAAGGAAATACCTGACTTTCTACTTGCAGTGTTCTTTGGATTTATCACTTGCTGTCCATTTCTACAACTAATATCTGGCCTTACCCGGTGCCCCTTTACCATTTACTTTATCACTCATATGTTTGAGATTTTTATAGCTGCAAAGTTTTAAATTACCTTGTATAATACTGACATGATAACTTCCCTAAAATTAAAAATTTTCATTATTTCCTTCCTATATTGAAGAAATTAGAAGGTGTTTCCATCTGATTTAATTTAAAAGGTAGACTTCTCTCACAAGGACTTTTATTCTCTGGTCATTACCCACTGATCTCTATCATAAAGAAGTCCCTGTTCAGCTCTACCCTGTTATTATCTCTCTCATACCTGGTGGTAATTGGTCCTCTGAATCCAAGTGTACCTTCCTAAGTAGACAATATATTACTTGAGAAAAGACTGATTTACATGGACTGGTGAATTCTCAATAGTTATTAGCACAATAATGAGCTCGTAAGAAGTGTTCAGAGAATACCTGTTGATTGGTTTTTAAAATGCATTTATTTTCTTCCACTGGATGTATATTTGGAATGTACTGCTCAACACCAAACCACTGTTATGAGTCCCTGTGCCTGACCTTTTCGTATGTAACAAAATTCTACTTATCCTTCAAACCTCAGTTGAAACATCCCCCTTTAGGAAGAATTCCCTGATAATCCCAGGTAGAATGAATAATGACCACTTGTTTTCCTTGTTAACACTTCCCTTATAAATCTATCAAACAACTCTAATCAGTTTCTAGACTGCAAATTTTTTGTTTTGTTTTTTAAGCAGATGGAGAAAAGGAGAAAAAAAGAAAATCCATCTCTTCCTCATTTTTATGGGTTCCCCTTTTCCCAAACACACACTACCCACATTGCCTTACACAGTGCTTTACATGAAATAAGTGATCAATATATATTTATTGAAATATGGATGTTCTTCATCAAAATTTTCCCTAGATGAAAATAACAAATACAACCAAATGAATAAGTAAAGCATTTTAGTAACTGTTTACTTCTAGCTGAGTTACATCGTTTAGTAGCCTATTGTTCCAAAAGTTAGTGAACTTCTTTAGGTTAGAAATTCTAAGGTAATAGATTAAATGATTTTTCAAGGTCTTTGCTATGACTGTAAATCTAGTATTTTGAAATATGTATATCTATTCAATTTGCTCTCCCCTGAAAAAAAAGGAATAATAAATATGCTGGACACTTTATAGATGATAAAACATATATATGCATTTTCAAGTCATATGAGTTCAATAAATCAAGCTCAAAGTAATATTCAAACTTCAATGTACAAATGGTAGAGAGTTAAGACTGTAGTTGTTTCATTTTATTTATTTTTACAAGAAACAAAAAAAAATGTAATAAATGTTTAGTAACTTCTAGCCCAATAAATGGATTTAAATGGGAGAATCTATTATACGATTTTGCTGTTACATGAAAACCTCCAAAACTAAGAGTCAGCTTATTAATCTAAGACTCCAACTGGAATCTAAGAATCTGATATATAGCTAGAGGTTCACTATTTATAAGACATGTGACCTTGACCAAGTCAGTTAACCTCTCTGAGGCCCAGTTTCCTCATGTAAAAGAATTTGCTTCATCTCCTTCTTTGGATTTCTGGGAGCATCAAATTAGGTAGCACATAGGAAAAGTTGTAAGTGCTATTTCTCTTGTACATCTTACTTTATATAATGTTAATAAGTGTGATGGTCCTGCACTTTCCTGGAAAGTTTGAGATTAGAATGATCATTTCCTTGAAAATTTGGTACACTTTTTTTGTAAAAGTGTTTGGGCGTGGTATTTTCTCTGAGAAAAAAAAGTTAAATTTTTCTTTTTTTTTTTATTTAATGCTTATAAATTATTCAGGTTTTCTTCCTTTTCAAGATAATTTTGGTAGGACATATTTTCCTTGGAATTTCTAAGTTTTGTTTACATTTTCAAACACATTGGCATAAAGTTCTTCATGGTATCCCATCATGTTTTCAATACCTGTTGCAATTTTACATTTAATTATTAAGTTATATTTTTATATTATATGCATTTTTGCTGCAATAATATAAAAATTATAGTAGAATCTTTGCCATCACATTATCTTTAAATAAATAAATTTCACCAGAATGTTTGTCAGTTTACCTGAGTTTGGAATATTAGTCTATGTATAATATATTTCATTCTTTTCCATTTCCCAACCTTGAAAGAGATTATTCAAAACAAATACAACTTTCTTCCTGATTCTGTTTTCTGAAAGGCTATACTGAATAAGATGGCAGAGGGTGCATTGGTTCTGAAGCATTTCTGCTTTGCCCCTCCCCAGCCCTTCACACATACTCATTTGCAGATATTTCAACCTGTGATTTAGTTGGGGGAGTGGGAAAATGTCCCATTAGCACCAAATAAAGTTATTTGGTTAGTACATAAACAGAAAGGCAAGTCCAGGATATGAAGCATAACATAGTAATCTTTAAAAAAACAGAGAGAAAAAAGAATTTATAATAGAAGCTCTGTAAAAAGACTTGATTGAACCTTATGGGCATTTAATGCCTATAATTATCACAAATAGCAAAAACATTAAATTTCAGTTGAAATACAAGCAAGATTTGAGAAAATGGTCAATCTATTTATTGTTTTTACATTTCATATTCTCAGGAATATTAAGTACAAGAATGTAAGTTCACATACTAAACTCCTGACTGGGCATGTTGGCTGAAGGATAAATACCTTAAATTAAAATTGAAATCTGTTAAAATTAGCTCTGTATTTGGTGATCTTTTTCTTGCTGTGTTACCAACTCACACCAGCAGAAAAGGGCTTTGAGCAAACACTGCTGCAGACCCAGAAATGGCCTGGCTTGCTCATCAATGACCTTCTAGTTTAGTGCACACTGGGCCTCCTTGTATAGCTGTGTTTCCTAATTATTTTGCTTGACAGGAACTGCTAAAGGCAGAAAGGAAAAATTATTCAACTTAAATTATTAGCCAAGTCTCACAAGGCTACGACAAAATAGACATAATAAATTATCCATATTATAAAACCTTAAACCTTCAAAGTATTAACAATACATGTGACCAAAATAGTAGCCGAACACTGGATAACTCAAAGAACAAGGTTAGTCACATATATTCTTCAATGACGTACCTCAGGAGGTTTGAATTCTTCAATTCCCCCTTCCATTTTCTGTTTAAGTGCACTGTTTACTTGCTTAGCATTCTGAACCTTCAATAAAAATAACCCAAAATACAAGTCACAATATGTACTTAGGTGAGTACTCACTAAATGAAAAGGATATGTACCAAACCCTCTTAAATTTTATTTCAGGAGAATAGACACTTATCACACTTAGGGTGCAATATTCCACTCATTCAACTAATATACATATCAACTTATATATACATAATCTATAGACATAGAGCACAAATCATAGTATTTGAATGTCTTTTAACAATATCTCTTCTAACCAAATGTAACTGACATTCAGGAATTAAAATCCATCAATATTTTTCATTACCATAATGTATTTTATTTTTATTGATTTCAGAGAGGAAAGAGAGGGAAAGATAGAAACATCAATGATGAGAGAGAATCATTGATCAGCTGCCTCCTACACGCCCTCACCTGGGGATTGAGCCCGCAACCTGGGCATGTGCCCTGACAAGAAATCAAATCATGCCCTCTTGGTTCATAAGTTGATGCTCAACCACTGAGGCATGATGGCTGGGCACTATTAATGTTTTGATCAAAAACTAAGAGTCATCAACAAGACAGTTACTGTCATGCAAGAGGGGTAAAGGGCCCAGGGCAGCAGATATGGGATTAAAAATGAGGGATATGATTGAAAGGGAATTTCAGAGATAAAACTCACATAATTTGGTTACCACTTGGTTTGTGTGTGTTGGGGCAGTGACACTGACAAGGGATGAATCAAAGACGATTCTGATGTTTCAACAGAGAACATTTGGGAGTTAGATGAAATATACAGCAGGTAGCTGGAAATACAGCTACAGAGCTTGGGAGAAAGTCACTGGCATATAACGTAAGGTTGGCTGGGATAGACCAAGAAAGTAGTTTTAGAAAAGTAACTAGATTTAAGGGATAAACAACAGAAGCAAACAAAAAAGGGAAAAGATGACTGAGAAAGTCCAGAGACCAAAAAGAGCCATTCACTCAGTACTTACTATGTGCTAGGCACTGTTTTAGGCACTTATGATATATTACCTTGTTTAATTTCTCCCAACCATCATATTATTATCCACATTTTAAGATGAAGAAATGGAAATTAAGAGTAGAGCAGCTTCCCTAAGTTACATGGGAAGTAGATAGTGCAACCAGGGTTAGAACCTAGGTTCACTGACTCTAGATGCTGACTCTTAACCACTACCTGATGATGATGACACTTTTGTACTACTATTACTACTACCACTACCATGTTTCCCCGAAAATAAGACATCCTCCAAAAATAAGATCTACTTACAGGTTTCCTTCTGAGTGAAATATAAGGCATCCCCCCAGAAAAAAGCCCCCCCTCCCCCCAGACTAAACATGAGAGATTTGGTCTGAAAGAAATGGAGTCACAAGAAATTCACCAGGAAATTCAGGAATTGGATTGTTATGATGATGTTATTAGAAGATGACATGATTGTCATTGACTAAATGAGTAAATTCTTGATACTGTAGGATTCACAGTTTGTCTGGTTTGTGTTGACAACTACCGTACTAACTGTACCGTATACAGGTAATAAATTTCCTTTATTTTCATTTAACAATAAATGTGTACCGTATTCTTCTTCATGGAAAAATAAGACATCCCCTGAAAATAAGACCTAGCGCAGCTTTGGGAACAAAAATTAATATAAGACACTGTCTCATTTTCGGGGAAACAGGGTACTACTACTACTACTACTGGTGATGATGATGATGATGATGAAGAGAACAGCCACTATTCCTTCAAATGTGCCAAACCCTGCTAAAAATCTACATGCATCATCTCAAATAATTCCCAACAACCTGTAGGAAAAGTATGATTATTATCCCTAATTTCATAGATAAAATATTGAAGCACAGAGATTCTAAGATTTCCTAAGATCACAAAGCTAACAGATAGCAATTCTGGGATTCAAACCTAGACAAGACAGAGGTATCTTACAATTTGGAAACAAGGTAAATTTTAAAGAACAAAGCTTATGTAAATGGGTCACGAGAAAAATATGAAAAATTTTGAGTTTACTGAGGTAAAGTGGATAAGCAAAATGGACAGAATCATTACAACTATGACTTTTATAAAATACCTGGCGTTTTAAAGAAATCAACTCCATGTCCAGCTGCCTGAGGATAGTGTTGGCTGCATTGGGACTACAGGAAACCGCTACCACATCTTCCTGGGTTAAATACATGCCCTTAGGTGGACGGCACTTAGCACGCTGAGAATGATGGCGGTGTTGTAAGCTCTGATACTCTCTCCTTCCAAGTCCAATCTTGCTAGTTTGGACAGGTTGCTCAGTATTACCCTAGAAGAACAAAGATAGAAATATCAGGTCGTTTCATTTTGAACCTAAGATGAAAACTGTCTGTTACTAGTAGAAGTATCTAATGCAGTAAGTACATCTAGAAAAACACTTCTAACCAATTAGATTATGTATGAGTCCAAATACACACACACACACGCATACACAGAGCTCACCAGTTGGGGGAGAAAAGTATGCAACATAATGTAGTCTTGATTTCTACATAAATGTTTGATTTCTACACCCAGAGGTCTTGGAACAAAAGAAAAAATAGTTGAATTCTAAACTATTCCTGTTTGTTCAAAAGGGGATTTATTTTCGCTAAGCAGTAAAGGGCAAAACAAAAACAGTGCTATTAACATTAAGTACAAAGTTTTTATAAGAAAGTAAGTGGCCTAGCTGGTGTGGCTCAGTGGTTGAGTGTCGACCTATGAACCAGGAGGTCACGGTTTGATCCTTGGTCAGGGCACATGACTGTTGTGGGTCAATCCCCAGGGTGGGGCATGTGGGAGGCAGTCGATAGTGGTACTCTCTCATCACTGATGTTTCTATTTCTTCCTTGCTCTCTGAAATCATTAAAAATATATACTTATAAAAAATGAAAGCAAGAAAAGGGATAAATTAGGAATTATGATAAGTGGCAGATTAGACAGCTCATAAAAAAGATAACTTTTTTCTATCTCTCTCTCCCTACCTCTCTGAAATCAATACAAAATATTTTTAAAAAAGAACAATCTTCTATCTATGAAATTGTGAAAAAAGAAATTTGTGCTAGTTTTGCTAAAATACCTCAAACTGCAAAAGTCATGGCCACCATGGGTGGTAACGACTCAGTTAAGAGAGAAAAGGCATTAAATTTGTGGGTGGAAGATAAACAGAAAGCTTATGTTCCAATTGACGGTGTGTTGAACCAAAAGCACTGAACCTTTATCAATACTTCAGCAAGGGATCCCTAAAAGAAGTGACACTAAGCCATTTACTGCAAGTAAGGGATGGTTACACAGATTCAGGAAGAGGTTTGGACTGAAAAATATAAGAATTACTGCCATGGAAGAGCTGTTGCCACAGTTACAACAGTTAAATAAACTAAGAAAAAAGGCATGTATTCATAGGCAAAAATATACCATATATAAGGTATAGTAAAAGCCATGATTCCAGGTATCTCCTGGGTTGTTAGAACATATCCTCGGTACATAAGGGGGAAAACTACTGTATCCTAAAACAGAATAACACTAGAGACCCAGTGTACAGGAGCCCTCTGGCCTGTGGGGATTGGGTTGAAACCGGCAGTCTGACATGCCCCAAGGGGTCCCAGATTGCCAGAGTGCAGGCCAGGCCGAGGAACCCCACTGGTGCATGAATCTATGCACCAGGCCTCTAGTAAACACTATAATTCAACAATAAAAAGAACTGCAAAACCATATTGGGCAACAACAACAACAAAACACTGCTAGTAATTAGCTGGAATACATACAACATGATTCCATTTAAATTAAGTATGAAATGGACAAAACTAAATGAGAGTTGCTCAGAGATACATGCATATGTGATAAAATCATTAAAATAAGGGAAGTGAATAACTGATAAATTTCAGGATAGGGTTCTCTTTCCAGGAGATTCTCTCTCTAGGGTTCTCTCTCTAGGGTTCCCTCTAGAGAGAAGGGAGGAGAGAGTGAAATTAAGGAAACACGCACAGGACTTCTGTTTAAGTTCAGCGATGGACACAATGATGTTTATTTTATTATTATTATTCTTTATACTGTATGATTTTAAAAGTCAGATCTGTGTTAAAGACAATAATACAGTATCATCCCCTACTGGATGTCCCTACCATCTGTGAAAGAGCAGAGAAATGAGTGAAGCTGACATGCACTGTCAGTCCTGGACTACAACCCTGCAGTATTCTTACTTTTTAACTTATTCTCCTCTCACATTATTTACTAACTAGTGGCCCAATGCACAAAGATTCATGCAAGAATGGGCCTTCCTTCCCCTGGCTGCTGGCACCACCTTCGCTTGGCCCAGAGCTGCCTTTCCGCCTTCACAAGCTACCCAGAGGCCCGGGACAGTGCAGAATGCCTGTGTTGTACAAGCGTCCTGTCCCCAGCCGCTCAGGGCCTGTGTATGCAAATTAACCTGCCATATTTGTTGGGTTAATTTGCATACGCACCCACGATTGGCTGGTGGGCATCATGAAGGAATGGTCTATTTGCATCTTTCTCTTTTATTAGTGTAGAAAGAATGAACTCACAGGCAAACAAAGACAAAATTTGTATGCATCACCTCGCGTAGATGGACACACAATGTTACTTTCACTATTCCATACCTGCTAATACCTCATAAGCCTTGACCCATCAACATTAGGACTTTTTTTTTTTTTTTACAATTATACAATCCGTTGCCTTAATAAATGTGCATGTATAAAAATTAAGCCTGTTCTTAATGATTTTAAGTCATCATTATTATCATCACATTGAGGAATATGTGTGCTTTGCTAGTTAGGGATTCTTCCATCTTTTCCATTGAGGCAGCTTTCAATTTTCTCTGCTGTCAGTATACCTGCTACTCATTTCTAAGTTGGTATAATATAAACCAAAGAAATGTTTTCAAGAAAAACTGGGTAGGCCCTGGCTGGGGAGCTCAGTTGACTAGAGTATCATTCTGAGAGGCTAAGGTTGCAGGCTGGTTCTCTGGTCAGGGCACAGAGAGGAATCGACCATTGATTCCTAAAATCAATAAAATAAAAATTAAAAAAATAAAGAAAAAATGCTAACAACCAAAAAGCTTAATTGTACACAAAATACATAAGGGTATTTTATTTCCTTTCTATGGATTAGAGTAGGGATCATGACAGGGTTTTTGATACTTCTGAATGGACATGATAACCAAAAATTACTTAAATCATTGGCTAATTGAAGTTGCAAACATTAAAGCTTTCCAAAAAAAACTCTAATTAGTATTAGAATTTATGACCTCCTAAATCATTATGTAAAAACATTTTTCTTAATATAAAGAAAAGTCTTTTTTTTTTTTTTAGTGGATCTATAGAATAATTTTACAAGCACTCTGATGATCACCATTACCTCTTTCTTGGCTTCTTTTTTGGGATCATAATCACTATCATTTCCATCCATTGGATGTGTTTCTTCCACATCATCATCACTGAGAAGAGACAGAGATTAGTAAACTTAATTTCTTTCTTTTTATTCTATCCCAGTGCTCTTATCAAATGGTAATATACTTGCTATTAATTTTACTAAATATTCCCTAATAGAATAAAGGTTGTCCCTGATGAGATAAGCTTTTAAAATTTAGATTTCTGTAGTGTTTAGAAATATTTAAGGCATACAGAATCATTTAGCTAACATATCCAGCTAAATATCTTTCCTAAGTAAATAAGGAAGATATTTAGAAAGAAATATTATTGAGAAAGAGTACACATATTAACTTGATGTAATACTTATTATTTCAGTTCTCCAGTTGGATAAGGAAGACAGACAAAACCCAGTAAGCAAAATTATTTTATACTGCCATAAAGAAACAGCTACAGTAACATGGACTTCAGAGTCACTCAAGTAACTGTGGAAAGAGCATCTTCTAGAGACTGTATTTATTAGATCCTAAATATATGTATTAAATATATTACTACTAAAAGAAGCACTTGTGATTACAGTCAACACAGCTCAAATATAACTCAGTTGCAATGTTCACTGGCTATGAATAACAGTTCAGAGTTGAGGAGAGTTCTTACTACCATCTTTCCCTGAAAATAAGACAGTGTCTTATATTCATTTTTTCTCCCAAAGTGGTGTTAGGTCTTATTTTCAGGGGATATTTTATCTTTCCATACGCTAGGTCTTATTTTCGGAGAAACACGGTACTAAGATTTTTGATCACTCAGCCCTTCCTATCAGAGCAGAAACATAAATGTAAGAGTAAGAAGTACTTACAATATGTTGTGATAATTTTTCTGCCTTAGGAAATGTAATCAATTCAATACAGTGTTCCTATCAATGTAATTAACTATATAAGGGCATCCAACCTACCTGTCACCCTGATTATGTCTATTAGCTAGTTTCCGAGCCTGGCGATCCATCAAGCTTGTCCTAGATCGAGTTTTTTTCCAGGAATAGTAATATTTTACAAGACTAGCAATGGTCTTATCTGGAAGCTTTAAAAAAAAATCATATTAATATCACCAAGTTTAATTCATAAACTCCAATAAACAGAATATTTCTGATATTATTCTTTGATACTTAGCAAACAAAGGCATAGATAAAACATTTTCAGACTATCTTTATAAATTATAAAGATAAAAACTGTGTTGTAGTCATAGTACTCCACCCACACCTATGACACTGACAGTGTTGAATAAACATGCCTATTGTTCTAAGGGAAAGGAGAAAGACAAACACAGAGAGAATGGCTCCAGAAGTCCTCAACACAGTCAATGTGATAGTATTTACTATTTGTTTTCCTTAAGTAATTACTCAATTCTTTTTTCCCTCTGTAAATTAGAATTTTTTATTAATATGTAATTCACATATCATAAAAATCTCTAATCTAAAGTAGACAAGTCAGTGGTTTTTAAGTATATTTGCTAGTATGTGTAACCATCACTAAATTATGACATTTTCATAACTTTGAAAAGAAATCCTATACCTGTTAGCAATCATCCTTATTCTCTCCTTAACCTAGTCTTTATGGATTTGCCTATTCTGAACATTTCATATAAATGAAACCATACAATATGTGACCTTTGATGGCTTAATATGAAGAAAAAAAGAGTCTTTTTTATTAGTGGATCTGTAGAACAATTTTATAATATGCTTCTTTCAGTTAGCATATGTCCCAGAAAAGCTATTCAATTCCTAACAATTATTTTTTTGAATCACTTTGTTTTAAATCCAGGTTTTAAAATGAAAAATAATGCAGAGAGATTTTAGCTACCAAATAAAGTATAGGAGCAAAACCTGACAAATGATCATGCACTGATTTGTCACCCAGGCAAACAAGAATGCACATTCCCAATCAAAAATGTTCTTTTCGATTATGGAAGACACTTAGATATATTTACAAATATTATCTAGGTTTTTTTTTTGTTGTTGTTGTTTTTAAATATATTTTATTGATTTTTTTACAGAGAGGAAGAGAGAGGGATAGAGAGTTAGAAACATAGATGAGAGAGAATCATTGATCAGCTGTCTCTTGCACACCTCCTACCGGGGATGTGCCCGAAACCAAGGTACATGCCCTTGACCGGAATCGAACCTGGGACCTTTCAGTCCACAGGCTGACGCTCTATCCACTGAGCCAAACCGGTTTCGGCCATTATCTAGTTTTTATCCATTAAGGTTAAAAATGTTTAATGCAGCACTTCTCAGGTTTATATTATTTTGACACAATACTAAAAACTTTAAGAGCTAGAAGTAAAAAGTGATTTTTTTTTTGGGGGGGGGGAAGCAACAGCACTTGGACAACAATGAATTACAGAACATTTAAAAATTGATGTAGACATATAAAAGAAAATTAGAAAATAAAATATTTATGTTAAAAAATGAAACATTTAAAAATAAAATGATTTTTTTTCCTGGAATGAAACTTTTTAAACAATACCATTACACATATATTTAGGTCATAATAAAAATTAATTATTACAATGAAATAGCAAATAACTGTCATGTCTTAGAATGGTTGTGGACAATAGGACTCTCTGCAAATATACCTATTTCAAAATATTGTTAAAAATTAACATGATTGGAAAACTTGTTTTCTATTTAATAATTAGGAAGTTTAATATCAGCATAAAATAGCATGCAGGTATGAATCACAGTAAGACCAAAATTACCATACCATTTGTTGAATCCTGTGAAAGCTCTTCCCATGAAAACTAAAGGCTTGTTCAAATAGGACTTTATCTTCCACTGTCCACTCATCCGGAAAGGGAGTAAAATTAGGGAGATCAGCAAGGGACTTCTCAATGTTATGTTTATGCCAGAATAACATGCCAAGTGCCTTTGAAGAGAAATCAATCCCCTTTGGTTTTTAATGGGCTTACGTTCCATCACACTTAAGAGAATTAAATACAAATTATGTTAAAATCTTAAGCCTATGACTTCAACTAAAGATACACTCACAGTTTGGGATTTTTAAACAGGGCTGCCCAAGTAGCAGACTTAACTTATTATTCCTTTTAAATCAATGCTTCAGAACAGTGAATGTTCTGGCATACCATGTCTGCTGCAGAATCTAGGAAACACAGTTAGCTGAGGAGAGTGACTATGATTACTAAAGCAGGCTTGAAGGCTCATATCAAGACTTTTACCCACATTTATTCATCTGTCAATGTGAAGAGAAAATTATGCTGAAAAGAATCCAAAAAACCAGTAATGGAATGAAAACTATGAATTCTAACGTAAAACTGCAAGTGCTCAGTTGATACTTTGAGAAATACTTGTTTTAACTTTTTAAAAATATATCATGGGCTAAACAATTCTAAGAAGAGAACCTCAACTATAACAATCTTTTATCATATATACATTTAAAAGTTCTTTATTATCATAATGTACACAAAGAATTAGTATGGGCATGTTAATAACTTCAATGACTTTATTAGCAAATCATAGGAAAGCCTGAAATGAACGATTTTCAACAGTTCCTCAATTTTCTCTTCTAGTGTAGGTAAATAGTAAGCCTTTATCTTTGCAATAAGGTACTGAATATCATTTAAGGGATAACATTTTATTTCTAAAGAGACTTAGCAACTTTTTCAATATTGAGCTTTAAAGATAATTTCTGTACTTTGGTAATATTCCTTTAAAATGAACATGGGAAATGAACCTATATGCAGTCACATTTTAAAGGATTAACTGTCTTAAATATTAAACAGAAAGTCAAGGCTTAAAAAAATACATAATCAAAGGCTTCAAAATTCATAAAAAAGATTATTGTATTTAGATAATGTTTCAATTTCACAAAAATGATTTTTTATTATGTAACCATGTAACTAACCATAAAGTTAGCTCTTAATAATCTAGGTTAGAGGTAATTCACTTATTTTACTAGTAATTCTAATAAAGGTTGACCTCATACTTAGTTGAAATGAGATTTAAGAATCTCTATTTCATTTTTATTTTCCCATGTTCTTCATCCCCTCATTACTAGGACTAAATAAATCATAAGCTAGATATATCTCCTTTAAGTTATCTAAATTAGAAAAAAAAAAAAGCTCTTATGCATTATTTCATTCATAATTGAAAAATCTTAAATATTTCTAAAAGTTTAATTTTAAGTTCTTTTAGATTAAAAAGTGAAAGAGAATTATCTATACTCAAAAAAATTTTCCCTTTTTAGTAAGCATTTATCAGAGTAGTCATGAAGGCTTTCAGAGAATTTTATAACTCAAATAGAGCAACAAACAGAGGTATATAGAGAAAAATATTCAAGCCTTTGAGACAAATAATGTTTATAAAAGCAAAATCCTTAATGTTGAGAGGTCACATTTGCTAGGACTTTTGGTAACTCTAAAGTTGGTTGAACTGCTTAACTTTTAGGACAGAAATGATGAGATATTCTTTGAATTGCATAAATGTTGAAGCAAGCCTTTATATTAAAATGTTTCTTTACATACCTGTTCCACATTGTAGCCATGTTTCTCCTTTGCAATTGCAATATATTCATCCACTGTAATGAAACAATGATATATAATTAATTATATTTACTTCATTTGCCCAGGTCTACGTTTTGTGTGTGTATGCGTGTATTTGTCTTTTTTAAAAAACAAAGAGAATTTAAAAATTTATATTACAGGGATAAAAAAAATAGCTAAAGTTATTTTTCATGAAATATTACAAAAAAGTCTTTTAGTTCTATGAGTAAGATCATAAGTACACTTGGTTTAAAATTTTACTTAGTATGACTTATATGACCATACAGTACATACTTATTACATTCAATTACTGTAATTATTTTATGCAAAAAAATCAACCTGTGGGTAGCCAACAGAACCTAATTACAGTATAATATATTAGATAATTTTTTTTAATTTTTCTGCCAGTCTTTATTTGAAGTCACTTAGCTATTTAAGACTCCATTTCCTGTTTAGAGTAGGCCCAAAGCCTTTACCTTCCTATTTTGTCGCTATATATAGTTAACAACATATTTAAATATACTTTAGTATCCCTAAAATGTTCTCCAGCATTTTCTGCTAGCTATACAAAAGGTGTTTGAATATTGCAGTTTCATTCATCCTCCATATGTAATCAAGCAATTAGAATTTAGATAAGAATAGCTTCAATAATGATACACTGGCTATTTAAGGCCTCATTGAAGTCTGCCACTTCACATTCAGCAAGACTCAGTTTTATGTGAAGTCTCTATAGTCCTTCTTGATCCATATATATTAATATTATAGTATTATAATGTGTGTGTGTATATACACACACGCGGGCGAGCACACACACACACACACGTATATATTCTTTAAGCACATTTTTGAGAAGCAGTGGTTAAGAATTCTGATTCTAGAACTGCTAGTCTACCTGAACTTGATTCTCAGCCTTGTTACTAGTTTTTAAACTTTAGGCAATTAAACTTGACCTTTTCATACCTTAGTTTCCTCACTTTAAATAGTGATAAAAATAATACCTTCCTCCTAGGATTAAATGAGCTAATATGTGTACAGTGTTTAGAATAGCACATTTTAATTACTTTATAAGAATGTGTTATCATTATTGGTTGGTATAATACAGACTAATTTATAAATATGTTGTTATAAGAACTCATAATACTTAAACACATGACAGGTCTAAATATATGCTGATTAAATTTAACAAAATGTCATATAGTCCTATAAATAGAAGGTTAAACAATACAACCAACTTATGGTTCTTAAGGCAGGCTCTACATTAGAATCAGTGGAGGAGCTTTTAAAAAATAAGTCTGGCCCTGGCTGGTGTGCTAAGTGGTTAGTGTCGGTCCCAGAAATCAAAGGGTCATAGGTTTGATTCCTGGTCAGGGCATATACTCAGGTTGCTGGTTTGATTCCCACTTAGGTTACATATGGGTGGCAGCTGATTGATGTTTCTCTCTCAATGTTTCTTTCTCTCTACCTCTCCCCCTCTCTCTAAAAATCAATAAAAACATATCCTCAGGTGAAGATTAAAAATAATAATAAATAAATAAAAAGTAAGTCCAGGCTCCTCTGAAAATTCTGACTGAATTGGTTTGAGATAAGAGACCAGACATCGGTAGCGTTTTTTTTTTTTGTTTGTTTTTTTTAAAGTTCCCCCAAGTGATTCCAGTGCATAGCCCTAGACCTTCAGTTGGATATTCTACATGAACACCATTCTATCAGGAAATGTTGGTTTTATGAATTTTGCTTATACTTTGCTCAGAAAGGCACCTCTGTATAAAAACAGTGCTAAAAAAGCAAAAACCAATGACACCCTGATACTCAATTTACAAATGAAAACCTTTGCTTATGAGGAGTGAACCAAAGAAACCCAACAGTCACTTTCTCAGCATACAGTTCCAGGCCAAATATAATTTCATGTTTTGTTTGAGAATGCCTAAAGAGCATTCAATTCCTAGATTACCAGTTAGACCTTTTGCTGGTATTCTAAAGTGCTTAAATAGAAAGAATGATCTGGTATACAGAATATTATTCAGTTTTCAACTTTTAGTTCTCTAATTGCATCCATAAGTATAATCAGACTTACCATTACATAATCATTACTTTTCTAAATAGACCATCATGGGACAGCTATAAGATTTAGTAAATGTTTTTAAAAGACCAGCTTATTTCAGAGCTGCTAAAGTAGCTGCTCAGTGGTTCTTTTGTTTTAGTAAATTCAATGTAACTAAAGGGAAGCATGGGGATCTGAGTTTTGTTACCTGCACGTTTCCTATATCTGATGTGCCGCAAAGGATCAGGTCCGCTACATCACATGGAAGACTAAAGCCACACCATGATTCAAGAAGTGCATGGCCAATGATCCGAAGGCCTCCGTCCAGAAATGGAGAGCACGGAGATGACCTGATTGATGGCTGCTGGAGTCAGTTCTTGCCCCTTTCCTCTTTAACATGGTACTGAGAGTGGGCTCTTTGAAGTTGGAAGGCATTTCTTTACATCTCCATACACTGAGGAAAAACCTGGGCAGATGTCTACATAGTAACTCCCTCCCCTGCTTGAGGATTAAGCAGCAAAATGCCACCAGATCCTAGGTTTCCTCTGTCTTCCTGGACCTGACACACTTGGAATGATCAACCCACTGCCTTTCAAAAGGAAAAACATTCTAATATAACAACCTCCATCAAACAAAACAAAACAAAACAAAACAAAAAGACAAACTATTTTTTCTTATGAGAATCTAAGAGACCCAAAAACAAATAAAAATTGCATTTTGAATTGGTTAATAGATGCCTATTGACATAAATGTTCAAGTTCAGAAAACTTACATTTGGCATCTGGAATAGTGTGATATGGAGACCATACAAGCATTCCTCCATTGTCTTTATCTGTGTACTTTGTAGCACCTGGGGAAAAAGGTAATTACTTTGAATATGATGGATTTTTATTTACATTCAAAATGAGTATAATGAAGGTTAGTTTGTTTCTATTTTATTATAGTACCTGCAAAGGAGGGCAAAAAAACAAAGTACAGAACAATAAAAAGAAGGAAAACAGATTTACATTAAATACATTAAATATCTTATTTATAAAGATGAAGGAAACTTCATAAAAATTGAAGCTTACTCCCTTTAAATTAAAAAGAAAGATTTTAAGTACATTACACATCCCTACTTCTTTATAGATAACTAGAGGCCCAGTGCACAAAATTCCTGCACAGTGGTGTGTCCCTCAGCCCAGCCTGCACCTTCTCCAATCTGGGTCCCCTCCAGGGATGTCCGACTGCCCGTTTAGGTCCAGTAGGATTGGGCCTAAATGGGTAGTTGGACATCCCTCTCACAATCCAGGACTGCTGGCTCCCAACTGCTCACCTGTCTGCCTTCCTGATTGCCCCTAATTGCCCTCCCCTATAGGCCTGGGACACCTCCCCCCCCCCCCCCCCCCCCCCCCCGCCTCCTTCCAATTGTCCTCTCCTGCAGGCCTGGTCCTTCCCAACTGCCCTCCCCTGCTGGCCATCTTGTTGGCAGCCATCTTGTGTGTTGATGTGATGGCCAATTTGCATATTACTCTTTTATTAGATAGGATAACTGACTTAACCTTGTATACATTACTTAGGAGTCATTAAAAACTTTTAAAACCAGCCGAAACCGGTTTGGCTCAATGGTAGAGCATCGGTCTGCGGACCGAAAGGTCCTGGGTTCGATTCCAGTCAAGGGCATGTACATTGGTTGGGGGCACATCCCCAGTAGGGGGTGTGCAAGAGGCAGCTGGTTGATGTTTCTCTCATCGACGTTTCTAGCTCTCTATCCCTCTCTCCTCTCTGTAAAAAATCAATAAAATATATGTATAAAAAAACCTCGTTTAAAATCATGGAGAATACCTCAGGTGGTTAATTATTTTGCACTATATCTAAATGGGCCAAGATTACTATAATTTTTAAATACTTGTATCTGCTTTTTATAGTTTTTATTTAATCTTATTCCTTGCTAGAAATCTGCCAGCTATTTCTTTTTAGACTTCATTTATTACATTTTACATTTATAAAAGTATATGCTCTGTGTAAGAAGAAAACAAAGTAAAACAATGTAAAAGTTAATAATGCTATTTCTTTTTAAAGTATTTTGGAGTCCACCTCTAATCTAGGAGTATATTATTGCTTGTTTCTAATTTTACTTCTAACTTGTTATCTAAAAAGTCAGAAAAATCAAGCTCTACTGATAAACAGCAGATAAATTAAGAGTAGAATGAATGAACACCTGACATAGCTATCCTAGAGCAAAGTACATGCCTATAAGGTCTGATCTTTTCTTGGCTTCTTCCTAATTCGTAGGTACATCCAAGGTAATTCAAACTACCAATAAATGAAGCATTGTTGCCATCTACTTTAAGAAGACTTGTTTATAAACATGTCATAAATGATTTTTATAAGGTGTTGATAGCTACCAGTAACTCATGGCCACAATTTCTGTCTATCTCTGACCCTCTTCTGCATGTGGGTCTCTGATCTCATGCATGCAAGGTTTCCATACTATGTATTAAATTTTGTTATCTTCTCTTGCTAAAAAATAAAATATACATTGAATTTTAACCACATAAAACAAAAGCACAAAAGCAAAGAGCCAAGTCATTCAATAGAAATAATACAGACATCCTATCTAAATAGGTCAGAAGCCTTTATTATAATACTTAAACTCTATTGCTATTTCAAATGAGTATCCTAAACTTCAATCTTTTAAAATGGCACTGATTCTTTCACAAAGGATTATAAGATAATTTAAATCCTACTTAGTTAAGCATAGATTGAAACCAAGGTTTGTATTAAGTCTCAAGTCTTTTTTGTTGTTGTTAATCCTCAGCTGAGGATATTTTCCCATTGATTTTTAGGGAGAGTGAGAGGGAGAGGGAGAGACAGAGAGATTGACTGGTTGCCTCCTGCATGCACCCCAACCAGGGCCAGGGAACCTGCAACCAAGGTACATGCCCTTGAGGGCAAGTCTCAATAGTGTATTATGCTTAATATTTAAATATATTTTCTTGCAGGGGAGGGGAGGGGAGGGAAAGAGAAGGGAAGGGAGGGGAGGGGAAGGAAAGAAAGGGGAAGGGAAGGGAGGGAAGATTAGTGCCCACAGTTTGGGTGCCAGTTGCTGTCAGATCTTACAATACTAAGAATTTTGGGGAAAATTTAACTGTTATTCTTCACGGGGAAAATTTTTTTAAGTTTAAATTTGTTTAAGAGATATTTAATAAAGATATTTTAACACTTCCCTTCCCTTCCCTTTTATCTATAACAATATTGAAAATTATATGTCAAAACTTGTCTGCTATTCATGAATAGTACTGAGAATTAAATTTGACTCAAACAAAATAACCAAGCCTTAGAAACATCCTAACTTTTGAATTGATTAAAAAACCAACCAACCAACCAACCAACACCTCAGTAGCAAGTTACAATTTTATAAAACTAAAGGATTACAGTTCTGAAAATAAAATTACTGAACAAGTTTTTTAAAAGGTTAAATGAAACCTTAAAAGTTTAATCCTTTTGAAAATTTTTTAGATCTTCTTAACTACAGTTGGTAAAGTATAATATTTTAGATCTCAACTACAGTTGGTAAATTATTTTTTTTAGATCTTCTTAACTACAGTTGGTAAAATGTATTTTTTAGATCTTCTTAACTACAGTTGGTAAAGACCAATTGGTGAAAACCAACAACTATCAAACAAAAATACAGTTGGCCCTCTGTATCCACGGGTACCACATTATTCACAGATTCAACCAACCATAGGATCAAAATATTTGGGGAAAAAATGGTATGCTGTTGGGGACACGTACTATTTAGGCCTACTAATGATGGTTGTGTCTATACTGAACACATAGTTCTTTATCATTACTCCCTAAACAATATCTATAATAATAAAAGTGTAATATACTAATTAGACCAGACAACTGGACGACCTTCTGGATGTCCTTCCAGACGACCTTCCGGATGATCGCACTATGACACCCACTGGTGCCAGACTAGCCAAGGTGGGTGTGAGGCAGGTGTGGTCGGGGACCCGGCCACCCATAGCCCCATGATTGCCCTGCAAAGGGAGGCCCAGGACACTGGCCAATCAATCAATTAAGGGGGGGGGGGGGCCTCCATAATCACCCCAAAGCAGGAGGCCCAGGCCACTGAACAGCAGGCTGAGGCTGGTGGGCAGGGCCTACCTCCTTAGGGTGATCAATGGCAGAGCCCCGTGATTGATTACCCCAAAGAGGGAAGCCAGGCTACCAGTGGTGGCGGTGCTGCAGCAGGTAGGTGGATCCTCCCTCTGTGGGGGCAATCCATTGTGGAGCCCTGGTCGGGTAGGCAGGGCCCACCAATTTGGGATTTTCATTCGTGGGGCTCCCGGACCATGAGAGGGCACAGGCCAGCTGAGGGACCCCCTTCCAGTGCACGAGTTTTGTACACTGGGCCTCTATATCTATATATATAAAAGCCTAAGCGCTCATTACAATGGAATGATTGGAACCACCAGAAAGACTGGTCGCTATGACGCTCACTGACCACCAGGGGGCAGATGCTCAATGCAGGAGCTGCCCCCTGGTGGTCAGTGTGCTCTCAAAGTGAGAGTGCTGTTCAGCCAGAAGCCAGCTTCACGGCTGGCAAGTGCAATGGTGGTGGCATAAGCCTCTCCAGCCTCTACGGCAGTGCTAAGGAGTGGTGAGAGTGGCAAGAGCATGCTGAGTGCCGACTCTGATGGTGCCCGGCCCAGCTTGGGCTCATCCCTAGCCGCATGCCACTTTGAGCACTGTTACAGGATCAGGCCTAAACCAGCAGTCAGACATCCCCTGAGGGGCCCCAGACTGCGAGGGGTGCAGACCAGGCTGAGGTACCCCCGCTACCCCCCGTGCATGAATCTGCACCAGGCCTCTAGTAGTAAAATAACTATTTACATGGCATTTACATTGTATTAGGTATGAGTAATTTAGAGATGATTTGAAGTATACGGGAGGATGTGAGTAGGTTATAGACAAATACTATGCTATTTTATATGGAGACTTGAACATTCAAGAATATAGTATTCTCAGGGATCCTGCAACAAATCCTCACTGGATACCAAGGGATGACTGCATAACTTTGATAAGCTAGGATTTCCACACCAACAGCAAATTTCAAGCTAAGTACAAAAATAAAAATTTATTTCTTTTAAAATTTCCTTTATGACCTTTAATATACCATTGAACAAATGGTATATTATAAAGGATCTATATAAAGGATTTAATATTAAAATATTAAGATAGTCCAAACATTTTTTTAAAGTTCTACCATTTATATGTGAGGCTCTGAATTATATACTTAATTCACCAACTTTACTCTGGGGTTTAAACCAAGGCTTTCAAAGGGGTACAAAAGCATGAATAAGTTTTATGGAAATCAAATTTAGACATTCAACTTCCCTAATGTTCTTTCCCAAGACAATCTGCCTGAACTCACTTGCAGTCTAAGCTCTCTGCTCATCCTACCACTGGCCTCTTTCTTGATAACAGCCCTTCTCTCACTAAAATAAAAAGCCATCTCATCCATCCCAAATCTCCTAAGAGTACACTGCCAGGATGGCTCAGTTGGTTGGAGCATTGTCCTGTATGCCAAAAGGTTGCAGGTTTGATTCCCAATCCGGGCACATACTTAGGTTGTGGGTTCAATCCCAGGTCAGGGTGAATACAGGTGGCAAATGACTGATATTTCTCTCTCACATTGGTGTTTCTCTCTCCCTCTTCCTCCTTCACCCCCTCCTCTCTCTAAAGTCAACAAAGACATGTCCTTGGATGAGGATTTAAAAAAAAAAAAAAATGCACTGCCTAAAAATTTAAAATTTCTGTAGTGCCAAAGGCTATTGGCAAAGTCCTCCTTTACTCAAGGAACATGACTACTATACTTTTAATCAATTATGTATTAATTATAATAATTCAAGCCAAAAGAGTTTTAACACTTAAAACCTTTGCTCACAAGAATACATATTATGGTGTATTATGGTCGTAGAGAAATTAGGTGATCAATAAAGCATTTTCAAGCACAAAAATACATTATAAAAATCTGTGGGGGAAAATGCATGGAAACAATGTCAAAGACAAAAAGGAACAATATAAACTTTCAGATTGTCAGGGGCCTGTTCATATATTCCATAGAATAGATACCATCGCATTACTCTAGTATTTATAGTTAATTAAATATATTTAAAATAAGAATATAAAAGCTTTATTTCAAACTGTTAGTATTTTCAATAAACTGAAGATTACACTTCTCAACTATCTATATATCTATATATATATAAGCTTAATATGGAAGTTGTCCCCTCGGGCGTTTGACTGACTGGGAGTTTGATCGCTCACTATGACCTGCCCTAACCACCAGGAGACAGTACAGAACGAAGGGAGACCCCGGCTGCCAGCAGCCACTAGGGACTCCACCTGTGCCCAAATGTTGTGCACTGGCCCTCTAGTTTAAAATAAGTGACAAATGATGGATTCCAACTTGAAATTAAGTGACTCTTTTTTCAAAATTCTCTTATGTGTATGTACTCAGGTAAATTATTTCGAAGAACATTTCTTTAAATGCATTAATTTTTACTTAATCTTGTGTTATAGTTAACATCATTTCCCTTTTACAAATAAGAAAACTAAGGCCTGGAACACAAACCCTTACTTTTCCTACATTCTGATCATAATAATTTTAGCACCTAAGGAATTCCTCTAAATGTCTTTGATGGTTATGGGTGAATAATCTCTATGAAGATGGACTACTAGTAAGTGTTTTATGAGGTTAAAGATAATGACATGAAAAAGAAAAAGGGAGAGAGGAGCTACCATATCTCAATTTCTATCCTTAATAAATCTTTTATTCTCTTTTCTAAGGAAATGTTTAAATTCTCACCCAATTACAATAAATTGATGTGAAATAAAAACTTCACACAATAGTATAACACTTAGAATAAAATATAAAGCAGTGGTATTATGTTGAGTGCCATAGTGATTATCTCCTTTTAAAAACTGACTAATAATTGATAAGCTACATTTGCTTGAAAAGATTTGCCTATAACATCTATAGACAACTATACACTGGTTGATTAGGGATCTTGTGATTAGGAGTCAAATGACATTAGTTTAAATGGTAACTGGTTTTAGTTGTGCCCTCTGGTTAAGTATTTTTCTACAGGAGATTAAGGATAAAATGATTAAGTGAATCTAAAGAATGTGACATTTATCCTTATCCTAATAAAGAGTATCATTGTATCATTGTAGTCTCAGTAAGTAAATTGAAAATATAACTTTAAAAAGTAATATCTCGGTGATTTTCCCCCCTCACAAATATTCATAGGTTCAAAATAAGCAAAATATGATGATAAATTGGATAATCCAAATAATAGCCATGTAAAACCACCTTAAAAAGTCTTTTGCATTTTCAAATTATTTTTCAAATTTTTAAGTTTGTTCTAGTATCTAGTCTATTATGAAAGAAAAGAATGCTTTAAAGTGATCAGGCCATCCATGATGCATGAATTTGTTCCAGTATAAAATCTTTCTTTTAAAAACAAGACCCATAACCAACATGTGCATAGTTGTCTATGAAATACAAACCTAACTAGTATTTAGGTATATTTGTTAAGTGAAATAATTCTGGCGCCTGAATTCTAATTTGGAGATAAGTTTATCAGTTTCCAAAAAAGCAGAGTCCCAATAAAAACCCTAAATTAAAAAAAGTATAAATGTATGAAAATCATTCTTAATGATGAAATTTAATCTTTAGTGAATAATTGCCCAGTCATATAATCCTGGCAAGAATCACATGGCTATTTTTTTTTTTTTTTAACTTCCATTTTATAACTAGGGAAACAGGCTGGAAGCCCAGTGACTTGCTCAGAGCATAAAAGGAAGAGCTGAGTGGGAACTGAACTCAGCCTACCTGAAGCCAAAGCATGGCCTTTTCAACTGTAGCTAAAACCTGATACAAACAGTAACGGGAATTAAAGTGCCACTCACCTACTAGATACATCAAAAAAATTAGTTTCACAAAACCTTTATATTTATTTGAAGCCCACCAGTACGCACATGGATAGCTTTTGAGTAAAATGTATTAAAACGAGCCGTGTCATTTAGAGGACAACCCAGATCTGGCTGAACACTCCTGTATTGCTTTTACCTTTTGCAAAAAAATAGCCCGCACTGACAATTCTTTTGAACACCCATTTTTTACTCTCTCTGTCTCTTGGAACAGGAAGAGCGCTACCTATAACTCTTTGAAAGGTTGGTAAAAGTCATTTTGCACTGCCAGCTATATACCCTACAATCAAATAAACAGGCCATTTCCCCAAGAAAATACAACTAAGCCCTGATGACATCTAACACAGATGCAGCGTTATTATGAGCCGGGGTGGGGTAAGGGTGGGGGTGAGGGGAAGATCCAAACCCAGCCCCTCCGAATCCTCTACTGCAGAGGGTGTGGGGTGGAGTAGGGAGAAGGAGACACGCTCCACCGCGGGAGGGAAGGAGGCTCCGGCGGGGGTGCCTCCATCTGCGGAACTCTCGCCCAATCCCCGTCCCGGCTGCCATCCCGTGACCGCCAGAACCTGTTTGTAGAAAAGTAGACAGGGAGCCCGCGGGCCGGGCTGGCAGAGGCCGCAGGAACCTGGCTGCGGCTCCGGGAGGAGAAAATGTCTCCTTGGCGGCGGCCGCCGCTGTCCTGTGGTCTGACTCGTGGGGCTGGCTCTCCAGCGAGCGAGGTGTGTGCGCGCCTCCTGCTTTCTCCTCGCCCCCTTCCCCCACCCCTCTCTCCCCCGGGCCCCAGCACTCTGCAGAGCGAGCTGCCTGGAGCAAAGCTGCACCACCCAGCCAAAGGGGAAAAAAATAATTTTTTTTTTAAATAAAGAAAAAAGAAAAATCCCTGGAGTGTATGGGTTGGGGCAGGCTCGCCCTGGGCTCGGGCCGGGGACAGCAGCCCGGGCGCCGCCTCGCCTCGCCCCCAGGCCCGGTGCACCGGCCGGTGACATTGGCATGATGCTCACACACAGCCTTCCCTCCCCCCGCCCCCCGGCCCCGCGGACCCCCGATCCGCCCCGGGGCCGCCTCCCTGAGCTCCCCCCGACCTCGCCCTGAGCTCAGGAGGGTGAGGGGGGCGATGCCACCAGCGGGCAAGCAGCCTCCGGAGAAACCATGTTCACCTTGCCATGCACACATCTGCCCGCACGACCCGCGTGTCACGGCCCCGCCGCGCCTGACAGCCGCCTGCCCGGCCCAGCCCAGCCCAGCCCCGCATCCATCCCCTCGCCAGAGCTCACCCCGACACCGCCACCCCTCCCGGCCCCCCACTAACCCACTCCCAGGAAAAAGGGGAGACAGAAGCAAAAAAAAAAAATTATAAATTAAAAATAATCTACCTGGATCAAATTCAGGGATCCGGGCTTGGTATTCAGCTCCGACTCTCATCCCAACATCTGCAAAGCAATGCCGACGAGAGAGAGGAGAGAGAGAGAGAGAGAGAGAGAGAGAGAGAGAGAGGGAGAGAGGAGAGAGAGAGAGGAGAGAAGATACAGGAAAGAAGAGAGGAAGAGACACTTAATAAAATATAAAAATCGTGGAGGGGATGTGGAAAGCAGCGGCGGCGGGTGGCGGGAGGGAGATGTGGAGTCCGGGCGGGCGCTCGGGGCTGTGGCGGAGGCTGGGGGCGGGGTGTGGGGGGCGGGGGCGGGGGCGGGGGCGGGGGCGGGGGTCGCGGGCGCTGCGGCGCGGCTCCGGGCGGGAGTTCGAGGCCACCGCAGCGCCCGGGCTCCGAGGGGCGGGAGCGCGGCGGCGGAGGGAGGGGGCTGGGGGAGGGGAGGGGAGGGGAGGGAGAGGAGGGAGGGGAGGGCGGAGGGAGGGGGCGGCGGGCTGGCGGACTGGTTGGCGGGGAGGAGTTCGGGGCTACCACCGTGCTCGTCGTCGCTGCTGCAGCCGCTCTCGGGCTCCGAGGAGGGCAGCCCGCCGCCGCCGCCGCCGCCGCCGCCGCCGCCGCCGTTGGTGGACGAGGCGCCGCCGCCGCCGCCGCCGCCCGCGGGGCTCTTGGCGCTGCCGTTGGCCGCCCGGTGGTTCTTCCCCAGCAGCTCGGGCCCTTTCTCCATCATGCCGGGCATGGTAGACGAGGGGAGGGGGCGCGGCGCGGGGGGGGCGCGGCGGGGTGAAGGGGGGAGGGGGATCGCTTCGGAGCGAGGGCGGGAGGGAGAGGAGGAGGAGGAGGAGGAGGAGGGTGTTAATAGGGAGCCGCCATCACCGCCCCGGTCCGGCGGCAGCGCAGTCGCCTCACCACCACCCGCCCCGGCCCCGCCTCCCCCCCCCCTCCTCCTCCTCCTCCCTCCGCCCGCCCCGCGCTCCCGGGTCCCCGCTCGGCCGTGCCGCGCTGCCCGGCCCCCGCCGGTATCCCTCCGCCCCGCAGGGAGGTTCCGGCCGCGGGGAAGGGACCAGGGTGTTGGGGGGAAAAGGTGGGAGGCCCAGGGGAAGCCCAGCTCCCCGGCGATGGCGATCGGGGCCCCGGGCGCCATGGCCGCCTCGCCTCCTTAGGGGACTCTTTGGCCTCCCTCTCCGGGCGGAAGGAGCGCGGCGGCAGGAGGCGCGACCCGAGCGCCCGGGTCCGGGGAGCGGCCCCCCTTTCCCGGGAGTTTGCGGGGGGCCGGGCGCAGGCTGGAGCCCGCCCTTCTCCCAGGACCGGCGGCGGCGGCGGCCGGCGTGGCGCTGGGGCGCGCTGCCCGCCATGCAGTCGGTTAGTGGAGCCGGCGACCTCCGCGTCCCCGGGCCCCTCCGGCCAAGCAGACGACCAGGCCGCGAACGGGATCTCTGACCCGGGACCTGGCTCCCCGAGAGAGGCCGATGGTGCCCCCGAGCTGAGTTGCAAAAGGGCTGAGCAATGCAGCTCACTTTTGCTAAGAGTTTTTTTTTTTTTTTTTTTTTAAAGCCTTTGGCCCCGTTTTCCTCTTCTGACCTTTTCTTTTTTTCCCCCCTTTCCTTTCTCGCTATTGCATTCGTTCGGGAGCGGGGGCTTTCCGTGGTGACGGGAGGCTGGGGTTCTCGCCTCGTTGGCGCCGGCCCCGCGGTGCTGCCCGGCCCCGGGGCCAGGGCTCGGGCCGCGCGGTGGAGGGCGGAGCCCGGAGGCCGAGGTGAGGCCAGAGCCGCCTTCTGGCCGGGCTTGCAGCCTGGCAGGAGATGGCTCCGCAATGCTTTTCTGGATTGCGTTAGGCAGAAAGAAGAGGGAACTGCGGGTTTTTTTCTGGTCAAGATTTGAGTACCTTGGCTTCGTTGCCAGGCTGCCAGGTGTTGGGGCCTGTTGATGGTTTTATTTATGTGTTGTTTTTTTTTTCTTCCCTCATTGAGTATTTGAACTGTGAATAATCAGTATGCAGATGTAGGCAGAGTGGTAGTTTGGGGTCCACAGGAAGGTATTTCCCAAACACTTAAAAAGATTGCCCTGAAAGAGTTCTATTTTAGGTCAGTGTAGAGTGGATCAAACCAGAAATAAGTCCAGTCCCCCTTTCTCTTCTTTCCCTCCCCACCCCCCCCCAACCGGAGCTAGCCTTCACTCAAAAGAAATCAGTGAGCCAAGAAAAGCCTGGGAAGTAAATATTTGGCAGAGAGGGCTTGTGTAAAGAGAAAAATCTCCTGGGCAGGACAAAAATCTGTCTGGTTCTGTTAGTGGAGATAGTTACATCTCTATCAAAGCTTGATATAATTCCATTTAATACTTAAATCATACAGTTAAACCTTTTTAAAATATATATATTATTGATTTTTTTTACAGAGGAGGGGGAGGGATAGAAACATCATGAGAGATCAGCTGCCTCCTGCACACCCCTTTCTGGGGATGCGGCCGCAACCAAGATACATGCCCTTGACTGGAACTGAACCCGGGACCCTTCAGTCCACAGGCTGAAGCTTTATCCACTGAGCCAAACCGGTTAGGTGTTGGGGGCTGTTTCTCTGTTTTCCTCGACCTGCGAGGAAAACCACAGGTTCCTGAGTGGAGGAGCTGGAGATTAAAAAGTTTTAAAAAAAGAGAGACCAAGAGGCAGAAATAGATTCATCAAGCTAGGACCCGGGTGGGGGGCTGGGCTGTCACTCGGATGGAGTGACGGTCAACACCCACCACAGACAACACAGAGCGTTTATTTACAAAAGAATAAAGGGAGGTTTCCCTGAAAAGCTTAGAATCAAAGGAGTTTTGGGTGTGCCCAGGTCCTATTCAATCCCTCATTCCTGGGATTTAGCATATCAAGACCTGGGTAAATCAAGCTCCTATTCCTTCCTCATTCCAAGCATTTGGATAAAGATAAGAAATCTGATAACAGTCTTCAATATTTTGGGGAAACATGTTTTCAGGGCGTGGCTCTGCCTATGCCTTGAGTTCAGCTGATGATAATTAAAGGTCATCCTTGTGCACGACTAAGCCTTTTAATTCTATTCCTTTAACAACTGTAGTTCTGAATATTATTTTAATTCCCATAGGATTTTTCTGAAAGGAGAGAAGGTCCTGGCCAAATGAAATGAATAGCCATTTTCCTTGACAGTTATATTTTTCACTGTAAATTAAAAATTGGTACTTTTGTTTTATACGCAAGCTTCTGATGAACATGATTCAGCATCTCTGGTCTTGTAGCACAAAGGCCAGTCTCTGAATTGAGTGGATTACAAAGAAATGTCACTCTGAGGTCTCTTGGCCAGCCAGCTTTCTGACACTCAACTTTGTAACACCCACTTTTCCACAGAAAAGAATTTCTGCATACGGTTATATGCACAACATTAAAGATTAGGGGTAATAATTAAAAGATAATTATTAATAAAACTCTTAAAGTAAAAAGATTACACCTTTATTTTTATCTTTTTAGTACAGCAAAGAAGGCGGAGCAAGGTAGACTGCATTCCACTCTTAAGAGAAGGACCTCAGGGAGGGAGATGGGTAGGTTATAGGATTTTTAAAAAGAAAAGCAAGTGTCTATTTTGCCCCTGAAGAAAAGGAACATGAGAACATGGCCTGATTATAAAGAATAATAAAGGGCCTTAAAAGGATTTGCCAGCCGAAACCAGTTTGGTTCAATGGATAGAGTGTTTTGCCTGCAGACTGAAAGGTCCCAAGTTCGATTCCGGTCAAGGGCATGTACCTTGGTTGTGGGCACATCCGTAGTAGGTGTGAAAGAGGCAGCTGATTGATGATTCTCTCTCATTGATGTTTCTAACTATCTCTCTAAAAAATCAATAAAATATATTTTTAAAAAAAGATTTGCCAATAATTAACAGGACAATTTAGAAAAAAATACGACTTAAAGAGAAATATTGGGAATGTCTATTGGGTTAAAGGAATAAAAGAATCTGAACAAGGAAGAAGAAAATGTTAAGAAAGAGTTAATAAACAATGTCCAATGATGGAGTCATGTTAAGCGCTTAAGAAAAGGGCTTTCATTTGTCAATTAGAAGGGTGTTATTTTGTTTGGCTATTTACTTACTGTATTTAATTTTTTTTAATTTTAAACTTGGAACAGACAATACTGGTACATTCTCACAGTTCCAAAATCAAAATATATGAAAATATACTTCAATATTGTACTGGACATCTCAGTGATGGCAAACTTGCGTAGAAAAAAAACATGTAAGGATTGGAAAGAAATACATAAATGTTTTATTTGGAGAAATCGTGACAGTCTATATGTAAAATTATAACCCATAAGCTATTAGTATTACTAAGTGAATTTAGCAAGTTGCTGGATTTAGTCAGCGTATAAAGTTCAATTATGTTTTCATGCTAGAGGCCCAGCGCACGAAATCAAGCACGAGTAGCTCGCCGCCGCTTGCTGCCGCTCACCGCCCCGCCTGCTACTGCTGGTCACTCGCTGCCCTGCCCACAGCCGCTCATGGCTCCGCTCACGGCTGACCTGCAGCCGCTGGTCCCTCCGCTCACCGCTGACCCGCAGCCTCTGGTCCCTCGTCGTCTCACCCGCAGCCGCTCGTTGCTCACCGCCCAGCCTGCAGCTCATCGCTCACGGCCCAGCCTGCAGCCGCTCGTCGCCCGCCGCCCTGCTCGTCGCCCTGCCCGCAGCCGCAAGTTGCTCGCCGCCCCGCCTGCAGTTGGTCAGCGTTCCAGCCTGCAGCCACTCATGACTCCACTTGCCACAGTTCGTCGCTCCGCCCTCCGCCGCTCTTTGCTCCGCCCGCTGCCACTCACTCGGCGCTCAACACCCCACCTGCAGCCGCTCATGGCTCGCTGCCCTGCCCGTAGCCTGTCATCGCTCACCACCCCACCCGCCGCCACCGGTCGCTCGCCAACTGGCCCACAGCCGCTCATCGCTCTGCCTCCCACCGCGTCACTCGGCCCGAAGCCGCTCGTGGCTCGCCGCCCCACCCGCAGCCATTCGTTGCTCGATGCACCACCCGCCACCACTCAACACTCGTCGCCCCAGTCATCACTCCAGCCGCCGCCGCTACTGGTCACTTCGCCCACCGCCGCTGGTCACTCGCCTCCCCACCCACTGCCACTCGTAGCTCCGGCCGCCAAGGATGGTCCCTCACCACCCTGCCCACCGCCGCTCATCGCTCCGCCTGCTGCCACTCATCACTCGCCACCCCGCCCGCCACCGCTCATCGCTCACCATCCCACGCGACACTCCACCCACAGCTGCTCATTGCTTGTAGCTCCACCTGCAGCCGCTGGGCGCTCACCGCCCCACCCGTCACTCTGCCCCCCAGCGCTCCTAGCTTCGACCACCACCATTCATCACTCCTCCCTCCACCACTCGCCAACCTGCCCACTGCCACTTGCGGGCCCTGGGGGAGGGACTGAGAGGTGGTCAATGCACCTCATGGCAACTGGTCAAGGGGCCGCTCCGGTTGTTACTTTTATGGTCCCTGGCCTTTTATTATATAGGATACAAGCACTAAACAACTAGAAAATAAATTTTTTTAAGGCAATCCTATATCATAAAGAGCTAATATGCAAATGGTTGTCACACCCTTGAGTCAGAAATGCTCAGACACTCAACACTGAGGAGAGGAATGGGGACCAGCCAGGCACACAGGAGCTCACAAGAGAGGAATCAGGGCCAGCCAGGCACAAATGAGCTTGCGAGAGAGGAATGGGGACCAGCCAGGCTGAGGC